ATATTAAATAGTAGCATTTTATATGCTATTAAATTATTATATAAGATATTTTAATTATTATTATATTCTATATTATTTAATAAATATTACTAATATATTAGATTAAATATAATATATTAATAATATGATATAATATAGTAAGCATGTCAATAATAACTATATATTAATTATATTTAATATAATGTGTTAGATATTATATTTACATCTTCTCAAACTCAAAACCAAAATACTAAAATTAAAATACCTAAAAAGTGTTTAACAATAAGTGTTGTGTTTTTAGTTAAGAATGATTTAGCTCAAAAAATACTATGGTTTTCAAACGCATGGTATTTTATTTTTGGCTAAATACCATGAAAACTAGGAAAACACCATGATATCCAACGATGCCTAAATTATTTTGAGATTAGTCCCTCCAACTAAAGAGTAGAAGGAGCAATTAGAGAGATTAGCTTTAAACTGCTTATGGCAATGGGAGACCTAAGTACAATTTGAATGATTTGTCTTTTAATGAACTAATTCAAAATAATTTAAGAATTAGGGATTGTTATAGGCTGCGAGTTAACCAAGTATTAATCAATAGCTGGGAAGCTGACACATGTCCCACTCCATGCTTAATTAGATTACTCTAGTAACTACCAACTCGAGTTATTCCAGTGGTTGACTCCGTTGATCGAGAACTTGTGTGGCCGACATGAAAGGCAATACTTATCGACATATTCTCCAAGTCGAGCCCACAAGACTCCACACTCGGCCTGCTATTTCAGTCGACAACTCGCGTAACCGACTAAAAAGACAGTTTGCCGGCCTTCAGCCGAACGACTAGAAAGGTGGTGTTTGTTGGCCTTCAACCGAATGACTAAATAGGCGGTGTGTCTTCAAACCCCCTGCCAACAACCAACTACCCTCGCATTAACTGCTCTTATAAAGTCATCATTGGTCTAGCTCCCATAATATTTATGACTCATCAGTCCAGTCAGCACCAAGCAGCTACTGTCGCCATTCCACTAACTACTTGGATGACTCATCCTCGTCTGCATCCGACATCTGTAAGGCACCTGTCGAGTCAGTTATTTACCTGGACTCAGCCCAAGTTATATTTTTAATCTTCTGAATTGCTATAAAAGGAAGCTGCATTGCATGAGGTAACTTCTTCTTCTCCATGCAACTTTGAAACTTTGGGTTAGCTTGATCATCAAAGGAACCACCAGAGAACCCAAATTTAGCCTCTCACAAGTTCTTCATGTGCGAGGAAGAACAACGGGAGCTTAAGGACCCAAACACCACCATAATCCACCCACAAACCCTATGTTGATAACTGACATCAATTGTTTAGCGCCCACGGTGAGGCCCTTTATCTTTCCTCTAGCAAGATGCCTAGTTCTGAACGTCTTGGTCAAGCTTTCAAGCCACTTCCTGAAGAATCACAAGCAGGCTATTCACTCAGGCCCAATTGGAAGAATCTGCTTAGAGGATTACTTAGTCCTTTTAGCAACAATTCATTGCTTTCACCAATGAGCTCCTAAGCCGAATTCCTCTCCAACAACCCGCCGCCTCAGTTGTTCCTCCACCTCCGACAGGCTAGCCATTCGCTCCTCCTTCGCATGGACATGCCGCGTCGTCCTGACATCAAGGAGACCAAGTTGAGTGCACTTCTCCCCCACCTCACCAGCAAACTCACTTCGCAACCCCTCCTCGGTGGCACCAACAGTACATGAAAGTGATAGGGGAGAGCCTAAGCTATGGGCATGATGGTCAAGAGTACGCTACATGGCAGCATCATGCGACCCTCGATATCTCATGTCCTCCGGCCCCCTCTACCACTAACCTTGTGTCTGGCTATGACCGAACCTGTCAGCCAATCGCTGACGCCATCAGAGGGATCACTCCTCTTGCTGAAAGCATTATGAACGTTACCTGTAAGAAATTTAAGATGCCACACGTGGAGAAATATAAAGGCAAATGAGATCCTGCTGAGCATGCTCAATATTATTACAACATGATGACCATGCTGCAAGCATCAAAACCGATCATCTATAGGTGCTTTCTTATTATTTTGTTAGGAAGGGCCAAGCTATGCTGGAACTCCTTACCAAAAAAGTTCATCAGTAGTTTTGAGCAGCTAAGCTAGAGGTTTGTACATCATTTCTTAGCTGACACCAGGCAAAAACTACTTCCCCACATCTTACTTCAGATGAGACAAAAACAGAGAGAGATTCAGGAACTATTTTTAGAGGTTTGATGCCAAAAGACTAAAGTTGATGACCTTGATACGATGGTCGCCGTGTCCACTGTCGTGGCTGGATTGGAAAGCAATGAGTTGGCTGACTCACTCGTTAAGAAACGAGTCACTAGCTTTGAGTAGTTAATGGCTAAGGCGTATGGATACATGAATGTGGAGGATGCTCGGAATGATGACAACAACAACAACATAATCAACAATAGAGGCCAACCTCTCTCCAAGGAAGGAGATAGCAAAGAATCCCCTAGAGGCAACCCTAGGCAAAACAAGGCTGACAAAAGGGATCAAAGGAAGTAGACCACCAAGAAGTTGGCCCTCAAGGTCCTAAACACCTCTCTTGCATAAGCTATCTACCTGATCTAGAAAGAGGAGCTCCTTGGTTCCACCCTACCTCACATGAAGTCGAATCCTAGATCTCGAGACATCAAGCAATATTGTTGATACCATTGAGATCACGACAATCATATAATGATTGTCGAGTCCTTGAGAGAGATATTGAGGACTTGATACAGAGAGGATACTTGAAGAAGCTTGTCTCCTGGTGAGACCGAAAGGAACTCGCTCT